AAAAAAACAAAAAACCGAAGTGGATGGTGACGTCCAAGTCTATCCAAAACCATGACAAAAAGAAGACCGTTTATAATCAGTCTAACTATGAACACTACAAAACCCCGCCAGAGCCTTAAACCAAGCGAGAGAGGATGTAAGCCTTGCTTTGAGCACGGATTTGAAACCACATTACCGCTGCCTTCGCTCCAGCAACTAAGCGTAGCTTTCATTATTCTTCGCTGTCTTCTCTGCAGAATCTAGCTAAATGTGTGCGCGAATAATTTCTTGCTCGCCCTCCACCATTATTCCAACTGTCTGATGCTCGTGGGCGCCATTGCTGATGATGATTTCGTACGACCCTGGAAAACTCACTAGGTTTCCTTGGTCGTCCACGAGCGCAAGCGTGCTTCGTTGTATTGTAAAGCTCAGCTCAGTGCTCTTCGAAGGCTGCAGTGCCATACGACGGTAGTCGAATAACTGCTTGTTCAGTAATGTGGCAGTACCCGTTGCCCCCGTGCTTATCGGTCTGAAGTAGGCGAATACAACTTCGTCACCAGCAACCGAGCCAATATTTGAAAGCACCACCGAGATCGTAGCGTTCGAAGCGTTTGAAACCACCTTTGTGACGTTTGCTTGATTGTTGACCAAAAGCGAGAACGTTGTGTAGCTGAGGCCCCATCCGAACGGGAATACTGGCTGGCCCTTAAAGTACCGATACGATCGACCGGGGAACGCAGTCATATTCATACTCTTCATGTCCACGAAGTCAACATAGTCCGAACGGTACATCGTTACAGGCAGTTTGCCACCAGGGTTTGTGTCACCGAACAGAACATCGGCCATGGCAAGTGCTCCGAAGAAACCAGGGTAAAAGGCCTCCACGAGTGCATCCGTTTGCAAGATGATGTCTTCAGCCCCTATCACGCCGCCATTGATAAGCACCACAACGGTAGGTTTGCCTACAGCTCGGACACGCTCGAGAAGTTGCATTTGAATGCTTGGTAGCTTGATATCGTTGCGGTCGTTCACTTCCTCCTCGATCGATGTATCAATGCCAAGGAAGAGCACAACCGCGTCAGCCTCTCGCGTAACCTTCACAGCTTCATCGAACCCAGCCGTTGAATTGCCCGATATGTTGCAACCAAGAGAATACGTTGTGCTAGCAGCACCATTCGCAACAGAGACAGCCTCCATGGGCGTTTGGATGCACCCCACTTCGTTGTATCCACCATGACACATTTGGCCAAGATAGTTACCTATCAGTCCCCGTTTGGACTGGGCATGAGGTCCCAAGACTGCCAGCTTTGTCCCCTTGCGCAGTGGCAACACCGAGTCGTTATTCTGGAGCAGAACGATGGATTTTCTAGCGAGATCAAGGCTCAGCTGCTTGGCCTCGGGTGTGTTCACGTCGCTCGGCTTCACGTGCCAGTACGGTTGGTCATCAATGGGGTCGAAGAGACCGAGTTCAAAGCGGAGTTTCAGTGTGTGACGTAGAGCGTCGTCGAGCGCCTTCTCTTCGAGCTTGTTGCTTCGTACAAGGTCTGGTAAACATGCCATGTATCCGAAGAGCCTGCCGCTATTCACATCAGTGCCTGCAAGGATGGCAATTCGTGCAGCTTCACAGCGTGTGGCAACGTAGTGGTGTCGATCAGAGATGGCTTCGATAGCTCCAGAGTCACTGGTTATATAGCCGTCAAATCCGAGTTTGTTCCGTAGCAGGTCGTTCTCCAAGGCATTATTCGCACATGTTGGCACCCCATTGATGCTGTTGTATGAGCACATGACGCCCTTTGCGTTGCCGTCCACGATCGAGGAACGGAAAGCGGGGAAGTACGTGTCCGCGAAGTCGTAAGGCGACACGATAGCATCGAACTCCTTCCGGTTACCACCACCGTAATTCTCGTAGGAATAAGCGATGTAGTGCTTGAGCGTAACGACTGCCTGGAGGTATCGCGGATCTTCTCTTTTGCCTTCTTGAAGACCTCTAGTGTACGCAACACCGTACTTGCTGTTTATGAGCGGGTCCTCGGATGGTGTCTCCGTGTTGCGGCCCCATCGAGGATCTCGGTTGATGTTAATGTTGGGCGACCAGCAGTCCAATCCGAGGTGAGGTCCTCCTTTGTAGTTCTCGGTCGCACCTTCGAGCCACAGTCCACGGAGTTCCCAACCAATGACTTGTGCCATCTCACGCACTGCGTCAGGGTCAAAAATCGCGCCCATATTCACAGGATTCGGAAACGATGTCGGGCAATTGGTACCACACGTTGATTGAACGCCGTGCACGCAGTTAGCACCCCAGTTATACTCTGGTAGTCCGATGCTTGTCATGTTTCCGCGGGGACTTGCGCGAGCTGTTAGCAGAATAGCCTTCTCATCCAATGGTAAGCGCGCCAAAAGGTCTTCAACGCGCTCTGTAGTGGACAGTGAGGTGTTGCAAAACGGAAACTTCTGGTTCTCTTCACCGACACAAGCACGCGGAATTTCGGCACCGACGACTCCCACAATTAAGCTTGCGACGAACAGCAGGAGAGAGGAAGTCATCGCGGAGGAGAAGGTTCGGCTGAGAAGTTCTTTGTCTGAGCTGGACCCAATTGTGCGCTTAGAAGTAGAATTGAGACTGGGTCGTGCTTCAGGATTGCCGACTCGCCGTTTGTGTGCATCACATGAGCTTGTCCATCCGGACGTTGGCACTGTGGCCGCCACACACTTGGTGTTGCGGATAAATGAGACAGGGTTTCAACGCGTACACGTAATTTAACAGGATTGACTTGTGGAATGAGGACAACCAACGTAGCGTTGTTGGTGGTAAACATAATTGTATTATGGTGATTAAAGATGATAAAACAATTTCCTAACGAGACAGACCCGGTAAACGGTTCTTATCCTATAGATAATATTCCACTAGCTTAAAAGTGAAAGCTTGCTCACCAGAAGCTTCATCCGTGGATCCCCAGTATCGTTCGGATGAAGTGTTATGTTGAGTCAATCCAGTTCAGTAATAGCCATGTATACGGATCGATAATTGCCCAATCCACAAGATATCTGATTACCTGTTTAGAGTACAAACTCACCTTCCAGTGGGTGCTTTGGAAGATGAGTTTGTAAACAAGTGGTGTTCTCACAATTGGTACTCACGCGTACAAGACCAATCAGAATAAACACCAGGGTGGAGGGGGCAAACTACAGTAGGGACCTCTCTAAACCTATGAGTTTACATGGACCACAACACAGCAGATTTCAAAATGTTTACTACAAGCTCGGAGGCCCACTACCAGTTGACCACCTGTCTGTCCGGTCGGATGTAAAACTGAGATGTTGATTCGGCATTGCTGATTGCCAATCAGTGATTGTACATGTAATCACACCTGCTCACACTATGCAATACCATATTGATTGGACGGTCGATTCTTGGCCAATTAACTAGGGTGCTTCGCTTTAGCCTAGGAGGGCTTTGGAAATTGCGTAGAAATGTTTCATTTATCAGTGTGTGCAAATGGTTCATTGTTCTATTTTCATCGAGGATTCATTAAAAATATCAACACAAACTTTTTTTAGTTCAGCATCTTGGAAGCTCAAACAAAATTCGTGAGATCTCTCCTAGGGCACCACGCATTCGGTTGAGATACTTATCTTGTCGTGGTAAAATGAAAGCGTGAGAGCTACCTCACACCGCTATCTGACAACGTCTTTATTATTGTATTTATCAAATCTAGTTTGTGCAAAAAAAAACGATTAGAGTGTGGTACCAAAATATGGGTACATTTGATAGCAAGGTTTATGGGACGGATCATAGTGACAAATACAGGCTGAGGGAGTGGACACAAGAGAGTGTAGATATCCTCCAGACTCTAATTAATAATGTCACTTTTCGCTTTACTACCAAGCTTCCTGATATTACAGCGGTGGCGAGGTCGCACAGCTTAGGGTCATTTTTGATTTCATCTGGGGTGTACTACATCTTATACCGGTAAAATGGTTTCTGTTAAACGCTAATTTCACGAAGCTCACGCTGCATCGGTGGCCTTTGAGGCCAAAATGGGAGTACTACACATTTCAATCTGTGGTTCTGCTATTCTTCTGCGCGCGGCTAGCCGGAATAGGAACTACGCTCCAGTAGCCACACCAAAGTGAATGCGGCTGGATCAGCGTCGAAATTTAGTGATTTCGTCGTCTTTTGAACTTTTTACGTTGCAGGAAATTAGAAATATAGATTTTTCAAAAAATAAGTTTAATCTGGTGAAGGGTTAACCCTTTTAAACATAACGTTTCACCTGCCACGTCAGACCGAGATGAGCACTCCAACCGGAGTGCTGTCTCGAGCCGTGCGGGGCGGCTCGTACCGCTTCCTCCAGCGTCTGCTAACCTTTGCCGCCAACTCGCTAGTGCTTCGCAAATTGCACCTTAATGTGACGGGCGCTGTGACCGTCCGCCTGGAGCTGGCGCTGGCCTCCATCTTCCTGTTGCGCGACGGATTCCGCCTGGCATTCCTGCGCATGCCGTCACTCGACTCGAAAGCTCCAGGCAATGGGAAAGCGCACATACAGCAATTGGTGAACGTCGCGTGGCTGTCGACGGCCATCAGCTGGGCGGTAGCAGCACTTGTGCTCGTATATTCAGCAGTTGGAAGCCCATCGGAGACTTTGAAAGGTGACGAGGCATTGGACGGGTACTCGGCAGTGCTAGCAATGTACTGCGGTGCTGCGATGATCGAGGCATTGGCTGAGCCGATGTTTGTACTGGCACATGCCAGTGTGTTGGTGAGCTGGCAAGTGGCGGCTCAGAGTGCCGCCTTTTTAGTGCGAGCAGCAGTACAATATGTCGGGGTCGTGGTTCTGGAGTTGAGTTTGACTGCGTACGGAGTTGCAGAGCTGTCGTACGCGTTGACGCTGTTGATAATGTTCGCAGTGTTCTTCTGGAGAAGGGTCTACGGGAGTTCGAGTGGAGAGGAGAAGTTCGCATTGACAAGTATGCACCAGTTGCTGCCTGGTAAACCGGACGGAGATGCGGACTGGTGTCACAACGAGTTGATGGCGCTGCTGGTGCCACTGAGTGTACAGAGTGGAGTGAAGTATCTTTTAGCGGAGGGAGATAAATGGGTGCTAACGGGCTTCGCGTCACTGCAGCACATGGGGGTGTACGGGTTGGTGTCAAACCTCGGCTCTCTGGTGCCTCGCATTGTGTTTTTACCTATCGAAGAAGCCACCAAGACGATCTTCAGCAAGCTGGCTCTTGCTCAGAAGCAGAAGAGCGAGGATAACGACGACAAAGAGAGCAAGAAGAAGAGTCTGGTGGATGGACAAACGCTGTTGTTGGTGTTGCTCAAGCTCATGAATCTGGTGGGATTGGTGTTCGTGTGTTTCGGCACTAGCTACGCAAACACGTTGGTATTGCTGCTGTATGGAGCCGAGAAGGCTAGACAAGGTGTGGGCGCTGCGTTATCTGTCTACTGCGTCTACATCCCGTTCCTAGGTGTAAATGGCGTCAGTGAAGCTGTGGTCCACGCCATTGGAGACGACCACGAGTTAATGCGACTCAACAAGCTTCTTGGTGTGTTCTTTGCCATCTACGCGTTCAGTGCGCTCGTGTTCATGCAAGTGCTCGACTGGGGAACTCTTGGACTCATTCTGGCAAACTGCGTCAACATGGCTTGTCGTATCCTCTACTGTTTGACGTTCCTGGCTTCATACTTCCGTCAAGTCAGTCCCAAGGCTCATTCAAGTAATAGTTTCCTCAATGGAATATCGTTTTGGCGTCGATCACTTCCTGATCGGCTCGTTATGGCCGCTTTCTTCTCGTCAATGGTGCTAACAGCCATTTCCCAGCGTGTACTGCTGGGTTCCGCGTCGATCTCATTGGTGCGGCACGCGTTGCATGTCGCTGTGGGGGTAGTCTGCTTTGGTGGAACGATTCTCGCGCTCTACATCAAGGAGCGACATCTTCTAGGCGCTCAATTGAAAGCTCTCCGAGGCCAAAGCAAGGCTCACGACGACTAGACGGCTAGACTAAACTAAACCATTAACAGGTTTTAAATGCGTTTCCTACTTCGGGATGTGGACTTCAAGCGTCGTCAAGTTTAATGAGGAATGAGTAGACGGCAAGGATTCGGTGGCACACTGCGAGCCAAGCAGGAGCCTAAAGAGACCGAACAACTGAGTTCCAATGACAAGGTGGAGAGGGCATCATTGGCCTTCCTAGCTCAGCTCTCTGTCGAGGAGGAACGCAAGCAAGTTCGTGAAGAACTCAAGCAGGTGAGCAACGTATTTTACTTCCCTTCAGACGAAACTGTTGACTTTCTTCGATGCAGATGCCTCTGCTGTCGCCTTGGATCAACTACAAGGCCTACGAGCCATCGTTCACCGATGAACTCAATTGGTAGGACGAGCTAATGTAAAGTCGAGTAGTGGTAACAAGGCTGATTGACTTGTAGCGAGCTAGCTCAACATGTCGAAGAGCAAGTGCTCGATAAGTTAGTAGCTCTACAAGAACGGCTGGAAAGACTGCAGGCACAACGCGAATGCTCCGGTGTATTACCAATCTCCACGCGAGACACGTTGCTGCAGAGTCGCTTGGTCGTTGAAGCCAAGCGCAAGGTGATCCCTGCACAAATCGCTGAAAACGTACGCAACGTTTTGTTGTCTTGCGGTTGTACTGGCGTCTACTAATCTTGTTACTTGCCAGACTGTAGCAGCAATGCGAGCTGCCAGCTTGCACTTATCACTACAACAAGCCACCACTCTGTCAACTGCGAAGACTTTAAGCAGACGTCGCTCAAACTCAGTGTTTGCTGCTAATAGCAACAATATACCAAGAAACCCTCGAGTAAAAGCGAGCAGTATCATCTCACCCAGATCACGTGCTATTGCCGACGACATCGATGTGTATCGGAGGCGGCATCGAAAGAGTTCCACGAAAGATTATGGTCTGGATAGCAACATTGACCAAGGCGGTATTAACGATGTCAGACCATCTTCTCAGCCGCTGTTGTGCGTCCAATTTCCAACATATAGCGAGGATATGACTTCGAATGGAAAGGAGGAGGATGAAGAGCTGCGAGCAATACGCTTTCGCTCACGTCCAGTGACGTCTTCTGCGATAGAAGACGTCGCTATAGTCGCTTCAAAGCGCGAACCACTGGAGCCACGTGTGCGCTACATCATGTCCACTCGCCTTGGAGTGTTGCCTCCTACGAAGCGCATCTTGGACGAGTATCCGATCCCCAAAGAAGTTCTGGACGCGCTAGAACGACATCGACACTTCCACGTAGACGATTCGTCTCCTCTGACTGCGTTTGAGCCCATCCAACTGCCTCCCCCTACTCCAACAGCCAATGCCGAGTGGGAATGCTTCTACAGACACTCAATCCCATTAGAACGCTCGCCAGTGTCGTTTGTGCTGGCTTCCCTTGCAGTGGCTCCAGAGAGACCGCTCCCAACTCCCAGCGACTTGTTTCACCAGCACCAACTCACCGCTGCTGCAACAGACGACTCGATTTTACTGCATGAGGTACGGCAGCTATACAACAGCACTCACGACGCTCATCTTGACTTTCGAGCGGAGTTACATCGCCATCTTGACCTCCAGTATCTTGTCGATCTCTCGTTTCGTAGTTCGTTGACCACGTCAAGTTACTTTGTTGACGATGAAGACAGTGAAGAATCAGGAGGAAATGTACAACCAAGTGTACAGATTCCCACTCAATTACGTCGTCAACGTGTGGTTAGCACTGCAGAAGGCGACACTGGTGCTTCTACTAAGTGGAAATTCCTGCAAAACGGTGTTCATCGCATAACCAACCGACGTGGGGCGATCTCTATAACCACGAAAAGCGAGGCTACAGTTCGAGCACAACGCAATGACCTCCTTGTCAAGCTATGCACGTTAACTCCACAGGACGTCGAGTTCCTCTCGCTGTGGTATGGCTACAGTCCAGAAGCAGAAGCGGAAGCTATCGCAACAGCCGACACTGAAGACGGCGAAGGAGGCTTACGATTGGACCCAGTACCCATGAGTCCACACTGGAGCATTCGTTTTGAGCTGGCATGGAAGCAGTTGGCGCTATCGACTACTGAGCGACTGGATCTCGCGATCAAATACTCGTCAGTTGGGTATTCAACTCGACTTCCGGATGCTGTAGTTCTGTGGGAAACAGCATGTGCTCTTATCACAGAGCATGAAGACTTGCTACGTTTGATGCGATCGACTATCACAGGACCGCGTAGACACGCTGCGGTCAGTCTTGCCGAAGACTCAGCGATGCTGCAGGCACTTATCGCAAGTGCCGCTCACGTCCGCGAAATCCTTTTGCTCACATACGTCGAAGTCGGGGACTTTGTGACGTATCAAGGCAATTTCTACTTGACCAAAATGGAGCACGACGCCACCGAGATCCGGAGACTAATGGAAGAAGGCAACGACGCCAAAACCAACCAGCGCCAACCTTCAGCATAGGGATGAAAAGAAAAACCATCGCTGATGAGGATTCCTACAGTGAATTTAGATTGAGTCAAAGCATTATCGTACATGGCACTACACTCACAAGACGTTTTTACTGTTTAAATCTGCCCGCTGTTGTAAGTGATCAATGTCCTTGACTCCCAGTACTTCGAACGGAAGCTCATCGGTTATCAAACACTGTACCGTATCGAATACAACGCTAAACCGCGAAAGGCTATCTCATTTCTTAACAAGCTTGTGTGCTGTCTCGATAATTTTGCATCGCTTGCTGAATACGTGTCCAGACGTCCGAAAACAACATCACGAGCAAAATTGAGCCCCCTTCTTCTTATCGCCGTTGCTAGGTAAAACACCAGCAAAGCATCCAGGACGTTCACATAGGACTGGTTCACCACTTGTGCGTTCATCAGCCGCGTAAACTGTAGACGACGAGATTCCCGTTCCCAACACTCATTCCACCTCTTACCGAGGAGCTCACAATAAGCACGAAGTGGGGTCCATGCGCCACGCTCAAGTACGCAGCTTCCGTCCTAAAGCCAATAAAGGCAACAGGTAGATCACTGACAAAAAAACGACTACTAGGGCGTAAGAATGGAGAGCGCACCACATTCTTGATGCGTAAGAGAGCCAAATCCATCCACGGAAGGTCTCTGTCGACACAAGATACCAGCGACGTATTCACACTCAACGTAGTAAGACTCGATGAGTTTCCTCTCCTTGTCTGCGTGACAGACTAGCCGTCAACACGAATCCGTCATCCGAAATGAAGAAACCTGTCTAGAATCCAAGGTTATCTGGAAGCTCCAGCTGCAACAAGGTACTTTCACTGACGTTATTATCGAAGAACTTGGGCGTTGTGGTCGCTTTTTAATTAAAAAAAAAATCTGCGAGCAACGCTGGTGAGAGTATCCCACTAGTGTTGTTTGTATCTCAGATGATCTTACCTCGACGCTTGTTTGCACCTCGGCCAATGAAGATTTTTTTAATCACGTATAGAACTCTTACTGCTACAGATCGCACCTTACTGATGGTTTAAATCATAAAATCAAATATGAACAACAAGAGCGTGGAACGGTAGTGCAATCACAATCGAAAAGATTGTTAGGAGAGTGTTCTAAACTATAGACGCACTTTATTTATCATTAAAAATAAATATTTAAAGGCCAAAAACTGGTTTACAACCAGTGCCGCTAACTGCTTCACACGCACTACCTTAAAAATTGCCAAAGTAATGAAACATAAAGTAAAATTCATTTGAAAATCTAAAACAGGCCCCAGTCCCATTATACCTCCTGCTTCTTCTCCTTCTTGGTCTTCTTTTTGAGCTTCCTGGCCTCCTTCTTGGCCTTTTTCCTCTGTTTCTCTCTGTCCTCCTCGTCGTTCGTGTCACTGCTCGTCGTCACAGGCTCCTCGCTGTCCTTGTCCTGTTTCTTAGACTTCTTCAGCTGCATCTCGTCACGTTTCAGCTTGCCCTTGCAGGAGCCGTAAGCTCTACGGCCAAAGAGCTTCCCACCCGTAGCAGCAAAGAGCTCCTCGTCCGTAGGGATGCGGAACTTCTGATCATTTGATGCTTTCTCGTCCCGCTTTCTCTTTTTCTCTTTCTTCACTTTCTTCTTTTTCGCTTCTCCTTCCTCGTCCGACGACGCGTCGACCACGATCTTGCTAGCCATACGGTCGTACACATTGTACCACCACTGGTTGGCTTGCTCCTTCACCTCCTGCTTCTCTGCACCCACGCCCTGCAGCTCCTCACGCCGCTTCACCTTGACGTGAGACTTGACGCCCTGCTCGTTCTTGCCCAGGCCTTTGCCGGCCGACCAGCCCATTTTCTCCATCTGCCGCCGCGCAAAGTCCGACACTTCTGCCGCCGCGCTCTCGTTGGCCATTCCGCCCAGCTTACTCATCAGCTTCTTGCCCACGAGGGGCAGCGCTGCGGCGTCTCCTGTCATGGTGTCCAGAGCAGGATTAAGAAGGAGTGGAGGCGATTGGCGGAGGCACAATTGCCATGGACGGTGGCAGATAGAGTACATCTGGTTACAAGTGCTGCTATCACCAAACGTTTGATAGGTGATTTGGATTGGTTGAAATACGCAAATACAAGCACCAAATAAGAAATACTAGCTAGTCTAGTAGAAACGTTATCAGCGGCCGTGTGCTGGGCAGTATCGGGCCGGATTTACAGATATTAACGCTATACCAACTGATACGGTCAGCAACAACAGCGAAGTCATGTTGAACTTATTCGTGAACAAACGTCATGAGTTGATTGCCACCACAACACGTAATGTCCACCGGATTGGCGACCGCACCCAGCTTGGGATGGGAGCTTCAACATCGAGATTGCGTCCTTAGAAGAATTTCCGCAAACACAAAAACCAAAACACACTTGCAGCACTACTACTTCATAATCCAATTCGTCGCCTGACCCCTCAAGAACCGAGACATTTTCTCAAATGTTGCCTCCTTCGCTACTTCAGGGCGACGACAAACTGACCTTTTCCAGTTCGTTTCTATTGGGATTACTGACGGTAACTGCTGCGGCCACCACACTCTACACGATCACCAGCAGGAAATCCAACAACCTTAAGGGCAACGCCGAGCACATAACTCAAGTGCCATATCTCCCCTCGACTCTGTTCCTGGGGAATACACTGGAGGTGGTTGCCAATACAGCACGTTTCCAGGACTGGATCTCTGACCACTCACAAGAACGCAATGGCCAACCCTTTGCAGTTCGGCTACTGGGCAAGAACGATATCATCTATATGGCCAAACCCGAGCACTTCGAGCAGGTGTTGAAGGAGCAATCGAGCAACTTCAACAAGGGCCCCACCATGCATGAAGTATACTCTGACTTCATGGGGGAGGGCATCTTGCTCACTAATGGAGACCGCTGGAAGTATCACCGACGAGTACTCGTGAACCTCTTCAGTGCTCGAGCTCTTCGAGATTTTATGGCCCCGATCATCCAGAAGAATGTCCAAGTACTGACGGAGGTATTGTCACGTGCTTGTGACACCAAAGAGCTCGTCGATTTATACAAACTGATGAACAAGTTCACGTTCGAGACGTTCACAGAGATCGGCTTCGGACGGAAGCTCGGGAACTTGGCATCCCCGGATGCCCACCCATTTGAGCTCGCGTTTGATGAAGCACACCGTATTAGCGGCTATCGATTCACAACTCCTTCGTGGCTTTGGAAACTCAAACGGTGGCTGAATGTGGGGACCGAGCGTCGTCTTCGAGACGCCATGGTGGTGGTCGACGAATTTCTCATGGGCACGATCATCGGAACGATGGAGCGTCGTCAACTTGATAGCACTGTTAACCGAGATGTAGTATCCATTATACTCGACACGATGGAGACGAGTGGACAGACTATGACGCCGGGTGACATTCGGGATATTGTCTTTGCCGGTATGATTGCCGGTCGAGATACAACTGCAGATGCACTGAGCTGGTTAATGCATGCACTTCACAATAACCCGCGTGTAGTTAAGAAGTTGCGCGAGGAAATTCTCGCAAAGCTGCCGAAGTTTGCAGAGTCTGAATGCTACGTGCCGACGATGGACGAGGTACAAGAACTGCCTTACTTGGAAGCTACAATTCGCGAGCTTTTGCGCTTGTCACCAGCCGCTCCCACGATCCCCTACCAGTGTGTTCGAGACACGGTGTTTCCCGATGGTACATTCATCCGAGCAGGCTGTGGCGTGATGCTTTCCCTGTACTCGGCTGCGCGGCTTGAAAGCGTCTGGGGACCTAACGCTGCAGAGTTCGCACCCGAGCGATTCATTGACGCAGAAACTGGAGACCTCGTACAGATATCCTCCACTCCCTTTGCTGCCTTCAGTGCCGGTCCCCGTGTGTGCGTCGGCCGCACCTTAGCGATGCTAGAGCTGAAACTGGTGACTACTTGTCTGGTCGGCCGCTTTCGTTTGGAAGAAGCGGAAGGACAAAACGTCACCTACAGCAGAGGTGTAAGTCTTGGGATGAAGAACCCGCTGCTGATGAAGGTCGCGAGAGTTCCTATCGAGATGTCCTAAGAAAGATCCTGTATAGTATTTGATGTGGTCGCTTTCATTAGAAATTATCAGTTCCATTAGTTTTTTCATGGAAATACGCAAGAGTCAGCACGGTGTCAGCTTCACCATATTGTGTTACAATGTGGTGAAGCTGATACCGTGCTGCTCTTGCAATGATTGTTCTCGATACTACCGTAGTAAAAGTGTTACCACCTAAGGCTAGTGCTTTTTTTTCTCGTGAACCAACAGGAACAATCCATGAAATACGTTAATACTAATCCGAGAAATACACGAACAATTCCCAGTGGATTATCATCTCGTTGCTTTTGCACACAATTGCTTCTACGCAGCAACAACTCCGGGACAGTGCTCGGAAAAAAATTAAATAGAAATAGTAATAATATTTCTGAACGGAATTATTATAAACTGATTACTACGACAGGTAAGTATTATTCTTAATTATCGAAATATATCACTCCTGTATTACACCCTTTTACTATTTTCCGAAGGTCACCGAACCGGGCCGACTTGACTCCAGTTTGATGGCTAGGAATGTGCGCCTACAACGCCAATGCCATGATAGCCATCGTATGGTCTTTCTCTTAAACTCATTCTGCAATTTGCCACGTAGTACTCTCAAGTTCTACCATGAGTGCCTCTACCAGCCGCGAGCTGTCCCGCTTTTACTTCGCAGCTGAAGCCGATTTACTACTACGTCTACAACTACTGCAGGAAGCGCCGCAGACAGCTTCCTTCAAGTGGCTACGCCA